CTGAGCCAAAGCCTACCAAGCCTCAGCCGAAGCCCACCAAGCCTCAGCCGAAGCCCACCAAGCCTGAGCCAAAGCCTACCAAGTTGAAGCAAAACACCTTAAAATCAACTTAACTCTAAAAAAAATAAAACCATTCTTTACTTTAGAAATAGAGGAAAAATCTGAGGAAGGAAAAGTGGAAATTTCAGTTTCCATTGAGAATAAACCAAAGAATTAAAGTAAATCCTAGTATAAATACTGGCTGAATTTTCAAAAAAAATGATTTAGAGATTTATCAAAAGTTAGCAAAAAGGGAAATTAGACAGAAAATTCAGCCATTAAAAAAAATATCTGAAATTTAGGGAAGTAAGAAATTAGCATTAAATAGCCGAAGTAGAAAGAAACTAACATGCGAATTAGTTCTAAATGTGAAATAGAAAAAGTAAGGAAAGATGAAGTTGTTTCAACAAGTCTCCCAAAATTAAGATCAGAACCCAAAAAATAAAGAAATTTGCTAAATCTGAAAAAGGGGAATTAAGCCCCAGGATTAATTGGGGTATCGGGGAAATTACGAGTATATTAAGAAGTAATTGTCTAGCGTTTTTTACAAAAAGGATAGTTTCAAGTAGTTATAAAAATTGCTTGGGTCATGATAAATATTCGTTAACTGTAAAATTATAAACATAACAGAAAACCCCCCATAAACAATTTTAAAAAAGACTAAAAACAAATATAGATATATACCGCTATCTTTCTATATCAAGACATTTAAATAGTTAAAATAGAATATTATGACTGAGTTACTAATAATTAAGACTGAAAATAGTGAAAAGGTGCGGAATTTCCTCAATAAAGAAAATATTAATTATGAAATTTTTACCGAGGAGAGTAGTGATAAAGAGGATAAACTGCTCCAAGAATACCGCGAAGCCTGACAAGACCCTTGTCGATTAGCCGAAGCAAAACAATGAGAGCAAGCGGCGATGACTGATTGAACCGAACGAGCCAAAAAGAGTAAAAAGTAGATGGCAGAGCGAACATTTAAGAGGGGGAGAAATTTATTGAGTTAATTTGCCGGACAAAGGCGGACATGAATTAAAAGACCCACACATGGGAGTAATAATTTCTAATAATCGCCAAAATCAGGCTAGTCCGTTAATAATTATTCTCCCGCTAACTTCTTGAAAAAAAGGAGATAAAATTTATTCCTTTAAGGTAGAGACTTTTATTAATAATCAACCGGGGAAAATCCTAATCGACCAAATTACTACTACTGACAAAATAAAAAGAGTGGGGCAGTTTGTCGGACAAGTAGACGAAAAAATGATGGTGAAAATTGAGCGAGCGAGCAATTTGCTATGTGTTGGCTTTTTCTACCGAAGCATTAGTGGAAGAATTGGAAGCGAGAAGGAAAAATGGATAGTAATATTTTATCTGAAAGATTAAAAAAGTAATTAGTTAGTATGACAATAACCGCCTTTATTAGTCAGAAAGGAGGAGTGGGAAAAAGCACCCTCGCCCAAGCGTTAGCAGTAGAAGTCCAGAAAAAGAAATTAAATGTTTTAAAGTCACTAGTTATGAATGAAGCAAAATTAAGGGAAAGTTTCTTGTTAGATCTTAAACTGTTTTTTTTGGAATGGTTTTGTTTCTATTTCACAAGTAAAGCAATAAATTTTTTGAATAGAATGAGATTAAGTGGGAGGCTTTGGCTCAGGCTTGGTGGGCTTCGGCTGAGGCTTGGTGGGCTTCGGCTGAGGCTTGGTAGGCTTTGGCTCAG